TCTTTCCCAAATTGTTTCCCTGTTAGTCTGAGATGTCAAAATGCAAGTGACTCACTAAAAAGAGTGCATATTATTACTAATTGGATTTCTTGACTTCTTGTGTATGTATTGAGGGGATGGCTCACACACAGCAATTCATATTTTCAACCTAAGTAATTCTGTGATTCTTCTGGATATGAAGGAGTCTACTCCTTACTGTTGGGGTTTTTTTGTTATTATGAACTTTATAATCAAAATCTTGGCAATTAACAGATTAAAAATATAATAATAATGTAACTTTTATTTCTGTTTAACTTCTTTCTTGTTCTGATTGCAAGGTCAGTGGTGTCTTTAAAATGATAGGCCATTGTTATATCAAGGCTGTTCATGTATATTTCTTAATTCTAGACTACAGCCCGCTGTAGGATTCGGTTTAGCTGTGGTGAAATGGAGACTAAAAAGTTGATCTTTAAAGTTAGTTGGAGGGTGGCATTGAGTTAGGGTGTGGGATCCACTGTCACTGTTGTAAGTATGCAGTAAAGCACTGGTATTACGATGGGATTACGTTGCCACGCACCTTCCTAGGCGTGAACCGCGTTTATCTCTTATAAGCTGTTATAGTAGAATTACCATGATCGTTCTCTACTCTAGTAATATACTGGTTTACATGGTAAAGTTCACAATACAATAAATAGTATAAGAAAAATATTCAGAAGGGTTATGTTATATACAACTTATATAATTTCTCAAAATATAATTTTTCAGTTATGATGTTGAAATTAATTTGTATACTGAAAAGCAGGTACTTCTGGAAACCTGTGAGAAGTTAGTAATTAAGAATCACCTTAGCTTCATGCTACTACGTTGTTTGTGTTTAAAAAAATGACATGCCCAGCCAGCGCTGTGTGTGTTACTGTCCTGTGCGCAATGTTACATCACTTGGAGGTGATCTTCTGAAGTTCCGTCAGGTTTGTAGATTAGGTCACCACAGGAAGACAGAAAAAAGGCAGTGGAGGTATAGGGGAAAATGTCAATTCTATCCTAGAATCGTTGATACTGGTTTAGAAACTTGTTGCTTGCTTTGAGGCCTAGTTTTATTACCTCAGTGAACTAGATATTTGATCTTGGCTAAATTTTTTAATCTGCTGGTTTTTATATTTTCAAAAACTGGCTTTACTGGAAAGCAATCTTGCTCTTCTATGTTATAAATTACTGAAATAACATCCTGTCAGGAAGACAGCTAACCATTTTTATTAATTGTTTTATTAATTAAATTATTAAATTTTATTAAATTGTTTTAAAATTACTGTTTATGGTTTGTTTAATAGCGATCTTCAGGTTGATCAGGTTTATTCCTTTTTTGTGTTTACTCTGCAAAATATAACAAAGAAATGCTCTTTTTGAAGTGTTTCTGATCAATGAGTGTTCAGTCTGAATAAGTATAATCCATTGAGATGCCTGAAGGAATAATTTGTTTCCTTCTACTAACAATGTAAGTTCTGTAGTATTTGCTCCCCCTCTGTCTTGCAGTATAAGCTGAATGTAACTGGATTGGTAGTTGGTACTGAAATTAGGATGTATGAAAGCAAAGGATAATTTGGACAGAGCACTATCTAGAAAATGGAATATTATGCTGGAGACTATAGCAGAGCCTAGTTTCTCACTGTCTGTGATGTAGACTTACACTAAAAAAAGCACATTCTTTTATTATTCTCCTAGTCATTTGAATTCCAGATGAATTAATGTAATTCTTGAAGGCAGGAAGCACAATTAAATTAGTCTGATAGGCCTTTATGTCTTAAGAAGACATTCAGAAAATATTTTGGTTTGGATTCTATGGTCAAATCTTAGGTTTGTTTTGGGTAGCTATTATTAAACTACTCTCTTTAAGGCATGCAACATAAAATTTACTATTTGTCATAAGATTTACGATTGCTTTGCGTGAACATAAACTTGTAAATTTACAAGTTGGATACTGACTGTATCTGAAACTCATGTGTTTACTCTTCCAGGAAGAAAAAAGTATAAGGTGGGCATCAAGATGGGATTATATTTTGGAATCCATGCCTCACACTCACATTCAATGGTTTAGGTGAGAAGAAAGCTTGTCCTCAAGTGTACTGTACTGAAGTATTTACATTGCAATTTGAATGATGAATCATTTTTTTAAACTTTTTTTTACATTAGTATTATGAATTCCTTGGTGATTGTCCTCTTTCTGTCTGGAATGGTGGCTATGATTATGCTGAGGACGCTGCATAAAGACATTGCAAGATACAATCAGATGGATTCCACTGTAAGTCTAAAGTGTACCTCCTGTGATTTATTTGGAATGCATTTTTTTTCAGCTAAATATATTTCTGTAACAGGGTATTTAAATGGCAATCTACTGTATTAAAATAGATGTATTTCCTTTACAGGAAGATGCTCAAGAAGAATTTGGCTGGAAACTGGTTCATGGTGATATTTTCAGGCCCCCAAGAAAAGGAATGCTGTTGTCCGTTTTTCTAGGCTCTGGCACACAGATCTTAATAATGACTTTTGTTACCCTGTGTAAGTAATAAAGTGCGGAGGAGTTAGTTGAATACAGATGATTTTTCACTACTAATTGCATGGTACTAGTAAAAGTAACAGTTTAGTTTTTTAATCTAGAAACGTCTTAAAAGTCTTAAGGTTAGAAACAGCTGAGCTGATACAGTAAACACACAACTTAGTATACGCAGATTTTAAGATAACTGATGTGCTGTCTTTGAGTCATATGTATAGTTACTTTCTAAAATTGTGCATCTCTGCTTGATAGTTTTTGCTTGCCTGGGATTTTTGTCACCTGCCAACCGGGGAGCTCTCATGACCTGTGCTGTAGTTTTGTGGGTACTGCTTGGAACTCCAGCTGGTTATGTTGCTGCCAGATTCTACAAATGTGAGTAAAAGTTATTTAAAATGACAAGGCTTAAGTTCATTAAAGTAAATTATCATCACAGAACTGATTTTTATTTTGCAGTACTGTTTGTAGTTTCCCTCAGGGCAAGTTGGAGAAATGTACTTACCTTAGCGACAGACAACACATACAGAACACTGACATAGTTACATTGGGTTTGATGTGATGTTGCCTAAAGACCCTGAATTGTTCTTGATACTATGTATTTATGGAATTGGGAAGCAAATTCCATTTCACTGGTACTAAGCTCATTACATCAGACGGTTTTGTACTTCTGTTTCCTACAGTTGGGGGGGGCGGTGTTAACTTGCATTTAGTTTTAGCTGTCGTTGTTTCTTGGTAACTCCCCCCGCCCCCCCCCCCAAAACCTCAAACTCTCTTTCTTCCCCCCTCGGGTT